CGCTTATTAAAAGCGTTTTCCTGTCGGGGAATAAGTCACGTTCAGTAACCTACGTAAGTTTCGTGTTATTTTATGATTTAGGTTCAATGAGTTTTAGGTAAAGTAATAACGCATATAAAGAAATCGCTTATGTTCTTAAAGTGAAATTCTTATTAAATTGCTGTGGAAGTAGTCGAGCTTTTATTAGCTTCGGTTTGTCGTTCAAATAAGAATAATTAATATTAAAATTATCCAATGTGGTAGAACGCATTCCTAAACGCTAAAGTACAATTATATAAAAGTAAACAAATACAATATTATGAATATTACAACACAATATTATCTTATAGTAAATTTACAATAGCCTTCTTATTAACATTAGTAGTCAAGTAAAGTAAGAATGCTTGTGCTAGGAGTGGTTTACGACAGTGGTCAAATTGCGGATTCGAACCCTATACTGCTTTTTTAATTTCGCAGTCTGTACCCTTATCCATTAGGTTATAGTCGCATAAAAATAACATTTCTAACGGCAGGATAAGCACGTTAATATTAATAATTAATTAAACGATATTGTAAGATTAATATAATTTTATTTACTTTTTTTCTTTATACAATTAAAGGTGACATACGAGGTCATAATGCAAATGCGATGTCACTCTTGAGGACTAACACCTTGATATAATAAGTAAAAAGGGTTGCCGGTTCTCGTCGTTCGCCATAATATAATATGGGCTGATATTTTGTGAGAGCGTGGATTTTTATCCTGCACGGATCGAGTCATTCTTTCTTCTCTTTTTAAGAAAGTTCCTCTACTATATAAATTCGATTTCCAAACGCTAGAAAAAATTAAGGACAAAAATAATTGTTTGAGTGTTTATCCATGCGCAATTTATACATGTAAGACCAATCCACAGCATATAGGAGTAATTCTTATAGGGACAGTAACATAAACCAGAAGTGGTGATGATGTTGATGATGATATGATGACAATATAAAATGCATGTAAAGTGTACTGGCGACAGGCGTTTACACAAGTTGGTTGGGACAAAACCTGCAGGGGAAAGAGCTTATATTAATATTGGAACCGTGAAAATAAAAAGTATCGGTTTTACGGTAATTAAAAATCGCCCATGGCGTTAAAGAAGAGTCCTAAATATAGTCGATTTATCGGTATCGATATTGATGCGTCCCTATCACATAACATTAATTACATTTACTTTTAAGAACCAAATGTATGGCATACTGTGTGTGGCGTGAGCTTGTGGCTCCCCCTAAAAATATTTGTTCGATCTTAAAACGATTTACGCTTATGAAAGCGTTGTTACATCGGGAAAGTAAGTCGTCTATATTGGATCGTATAGTAGTAGTCTTTTTTTTAAATAGGATCGATTGACAAACGAGCACACAGTCCACCTAATGGTAAGTGGTTGCTGTGGCCCATAGACATCTACATTTATCTTCGTTTGCGAATCAAAACGCAGATGCGTTGTCACCCGTGAGGAATAAGATGAAATGCCTCTTTTCCAATAAAAAGGGTCTCCGGTTCTCTACACTCACCATACGAAACACAGCACAGCACAGTGTTAAACTGATATTTGACGCTGGTATTCTGTGAGTGCGTGGTCCTTCCCCGGTCGAGCCGACCCATTCGTGCTACAACTATACTATTAATATAGCTGCAGCTTAGCTCTACCACGTAAAAGTCTTTTAAAAATTTCCGGCATATCTTTAAGTTGTCGCCATAGTTATCAAAAGGCCAGGAATATTTAATGAATCCCGTCGTTATAATTATGGCGAAAAGGTAAAACTTTTAAAGGAATTATATAATAAAAATTTTACTGCGAGGGAAAACCAAATTAAAATAAAGGAGAAATTTACGCAAGGTAAAAAAGCTACGACACAAAAATGAAATTTAAACACAATTAATTCATCAGCGAAAGCCCGTCTTAATTAGTTCATTGCAAAGGAGTTTCTAGTTAAAATATTCAAATTTTTACTAATTTCGTTCGAAGATGAGTGAATTTTTGTAAAAAGGGGGAAATTTATTTTTATTCAATTAACAGAAGTCCAGAGGATAAGCGTTAGTTTTAAAATTTTCATTGTACGCAAACAATCCGCGTTCGATTCTCTCGGCTACACTGACCTTACTTAAGTGGTGATTTACCACGTGTTCGAAGATGAATATCCGAGAAATATTTTTTTATTCTTACAAATATTGTAAATGATTATGGTATGTAAATAAATTATATTTACATAGCATAATCATTATGGTCCCATATATATTAAAATTAACATCACCTATATATATATATATATATATATATATATATATAATGATATTTGTTCAACAGTTAGGTGATATGATATCGTAAATCAAAACACAACTGAGTTTCTCTGTAATAAAAGATTTATGTTAGTTAACATGTTTGTTTAGTACTAATTACAAAGTATAATATTCTATTTATTATCAACCTTACCTGTAATAAAAGAAACGACATTTAATGTTATTAATTACAATATCAATTCCTAACGTCAATAGTTTTCATAATGGAATTCATTCGACCACAGACTAACTAAAAAAAGGCTGACTATATTCGCTGGCGCTAGCAGCGCGGCCTTTATTTGAACTAAAGAAAATATATTTTCTTTACATCACCCCCCCTGGGAAAGATAACACATACAAAATATTACGAAAGTTTATCATTAAATATAACCTATTATGACTTTTCAACACTTCTTAGTCATCTTCGTCAAGCATCGGAGCTGGAACCAATTTTGAGATATGGAAAAAGTTAGACTCTGCTTTTTTATTTCCAGAGTTGATCCTGTAAATCGTGTTAGACAATTTTTCCATTATTCTGTATGGTCCGATTCTCAGTTCATCAAGCTTTTTCCTATTTAGCATGTTGCCATTTTCCACAAAAACCATATCACCCACTTTGAAGTCGAAGTGTATACGATTTTTATCATAAAGTGTCTTGTTGTAATTGTGTGACTGAAGTGTATTTTCTAGAGCTTTTTTCCTGTCTTGAATCCAATTGGTCTCTGTCTTCTTTGGTTTTAGCTTATTAGGCAAAGTCGTAACATCGGTGCCATTTAATAGATACGTGGGAGCATATCTAGTGACAGTATGCTCCGTTTCATTATATTTTTTTACACAATTTTGTGCTATGGTCGTCCATGCTACTTTAGTATCATTTTCGTTAATCTTGCATCTAATTTTGTTAACCAATGTTTGATTTAGTCTCTCATTTAAACCATTCGAAAAGGGTGAATTCACTGCAGTAAAAATTAGTTGAATATGTTGGTCTTCTAAAAATTTTTTAAATTCCTTTGAATTAATACCTGGATATTGATCAGAGAGAATCATGCCAATATTGTCAGATTCTGCGGTGTTCTTCACTAGTTTAATAAAATCATTTGCATTTTGAGTTTTTGATGTCAAAATAAATGCATACCTCGTGAAATGATCTAATAGTAGGTGCAAGTACTTTTTTGTGGACCTGGAACCCCCAAAACCTCCAATCGTATCAATAGAACATATCTCAAAGGGTTTCGTAGCCGGGCCCAAATGAGACATCATTCCATATTTGTTTTGTCCCCTTGATTTGTTTTTTATACATACCGTACAATCTTTACAGGTTTTTTTTATGTTCTTTGTTAAGTTTTCAGCTGTATACAGTGAACTTATTGTTTTTTGCATTTGATTTATTCCTATGTGACCTAGGTCCATATGTATTCTTTTAATGAATTCCCTGCTAAATTTTTCCGAGAGAATTATTTTATCTTTTTTCTTAACTTTTTTATAATAAATATTGTGATCTGATTTTAGCTTTTCTTTCCTGGACTGTATATATTTATTTATTTCTTGATCTTCTAAAATATCTTTTAGTTTTATTAAGTTTACCACTTTTAATTGTTCCTCCAGATTTTCAGTGTGATCTAAGACTGGGTTCCTGCTCAGGCAATCAGCTTCCAAGTTGTATCTTCCTGGGGAATATTTTATTTCAAAATCATATTGTGATAGGTAGTATGTTAAATCTCCTAGTTCTTCATCAGTTCTTGATTTTATATTCATATTCTCCAACGGTTTGTGATCTGAGAAAACAGTGAATTTCCTACCTATCAACAGATGTTGCCAATACTTTACACATTCTTTTATTGCTAGGCATTCCATATATATAGCCTTCTTCCTTTTTTGTACTTCATTCAATTTTTTTGAGAAGTATGCTACTGGTTTTTCTTCCTTATTTTCTTGCAGCTGTTTTAGGACGGCCCCCACTCCTAGTATACTAGCATCTGTGTATATGTGTATAGGCAATTTTGGATCATAAATCGTTAATATCGGTTGAGAACATAATATTTGTTTCATTTCATCAAATGATTCTTGACATGCTTTGGTCCAATTAAAGGCTTGTCCTTTTCTCAAAAGGTTATGCAATGGATCCAATTTTATTGCTATTTTTGGTACATATTTATGATAAAAATTTATCTTTCCTAAGAATTGTCTCACATTTTTTTGTGTTTTTGGTGTTGGAAAATTCTTAATTGATATCAAGTTGTCTTTCAGAGGTCTAACTGAATTATTTTGTATTATGTGACCCAGATATTTTACTGAGTCAGCTGCAAACGTGCATTTGGAGAATTTAAGTCTAAATCCTTCACTTTTAATTGCTTCGAACAGCTTTGTTAGATGCTTGACGTGATCAGAGAAAGATTTGGAGAATATTAAAATGTCATCTATGTAAGTTATTGTGAACTCTGCAAGTTTGTGTTTTCTTATTATGTTACACATTATTCTCTGAAATATTGCTGGCGAAGTTTTTAGGCCAAATGGTAAACACGTCCACTGGAAGTGACCTTCTTGTGTCACAAACGCAGTTTTGTGTCTATCCGTAATACGTAGAGGTATTGACCAAAACGCTTTGTTTATGTCCAGTGTGGAGAAATATTTGCAATCTCTTGTTTTTATCATTAGGTCCTCAATAAGAGGAAACGGTTGTGATTGCGGCACAACAATTTTATTTAGGTCTCGAAAATCTATACACAATCTTGATCTTGTGTTTTCCTCTTTTTTTGTAAGCTAATGTTACTGGTGCCGCAAATGGACTATATGATTCTTCGATCAAATTTCTCTTTAATAATTGTGCAATTTGTTGTTCGATTTCTTTTTTATCTTCGATTGTGCAACGATATGGTCTTTTACTGCAATATTTTTCTGCTAATAAATCAATGTGTGCTTCATAATCCTTTACTGTGCCAATGTCATATTTATCTTTTGCAAAAACAGATTTATTCTTTGTTATTAAATCATCAATTATTGCCTGTTTGTCAATGTCTAAATGGTTTATCCAAATAATGAAATTTTCTTTATTGAAGTATTCGTTAAAGTTAATAAGGTTTTTTTTGTCATTTTGAGAATTTTCAAATTTTATTTCCTTTCGAATTATTTCATTTTCTGACTCTTTATTTTTCATTTCTTTAGAAATATTGTCAATCTCTAACCTTTTTGTTATTGTTTCCTTAGAAACGTTGTTTGTCTCTGAATTTTTAATAATTTTTTTTTGTATTGGAACTTTTTGACTGATTTCTAAGTTTTCATTTTGAATTAAATAGAATTTTTTAATACAGTCTAGCCCAATCAAAAAATCATGATCAAAATTTTCTTGATCTATTACAAAGACATCCATTTTTCTTTCTACATTAAAAATATTTACGTCAAGTGTTATTATACCACTTGCCTTTTTAACGCCATTAATTGTTTTTAAATAAGTATTGTTGGAATAACCTAATCTTTTATGTTTAAATTTCAGTAATCTTGAATTTATCAAGGACACGTTTGAGCCTGAATCATAGATTCCAAATACTTCAAGGTTTTTATTCAATACTAACCTTACTTTAATTAATGGCGGCACTATTAGTTTTTTGGTTCTTCACACTGCAGTTCACATTCCAATTCTGAATTATTAATAAGTTTGATTTGTTTCTTTTCATTTTCTTTATTGTCTTTTGTTTTAAACCAGCATGAATCTTCTGAGTGATAGCGTACTCCTTTCTTTAGCTTCTCGCAAATGCTACATTTTTGCATCTTTTCTTTCGATGGTTTAGTATCATCTTTCTTTTTCATAAACTTTTTCTTGATGGCCAAATGTTCTAATTTATCAACTTCATTGAATAAGTCTTTTGTTTCTAATATTTCTTCTTTGTTGATCTTATCTGTTATAAAGTCTGGCAGTCCAGCAGCGATTAGATCAATCAAGGTCCCTTGATCAATTGTCTTTCTTACTTCAAGTAAAAGTTTTTCCTTTGTAATGGAATATTCCAATAAAGATCCTGATTGATATTTGAAAGCTAAGGCATATTTACTACTAGTCCAACCCTTATTTGCATAGGTTTCTACAAAGTTTGATTTCCATTTCGACCATTCCGATTGCAAACTTAGCTTAATCATCATGGAAGTATACCAATCAGTGCATGATTTTTCTAGAAATAATCTGAGGATTTCAATTTTCTCTTCATCTTGTACTATATCAAATCTTGTACATTCCTTTTCGAAAACTTCCATCCACTGACATGCACTAACATTCTTGCCATCAAATTTATCTAGTACAAATCTGTCTGCTAATTTTTTTACGCTTTGTTTTTCCTTTCTTTGTTGACTTTCAACTAATTTTTCCAAAATTTTCACCATGTGATCTTCGGAATTGTTTTTGTTCATAGTAGCCAATTGTTCTTCAGTAACTTCCTCTAGGTATTGGTCCTCAAATATCATGTTTTCATCTTCATCAAAGTATGTTTTTTGCATATCTGGTGTTAGTTTTATCCAAACACTTCTAGTTTGATGTCTTTTCTTTATTGTATTACGCACTATATTGTAAGCCTTAGAGGCGTAAACATATTTGTGAAGTGACGCTGCTTCATACTCCTCAGGGATCAGGAAAACTTTATCATTTTGTGTAATGATTGAGGTTATGGCGATATAGGTTGTTTTTCCATCTTTTGTAGCTTTTGATCTGAATACGAATTTTAGTTTCTCCATTTTCTTGATAATTACAAGAAATGTCGTTTTATAATGATATTTGTTCAACAGTTAGGTGATATGATATCGTAAATCAAAACACAACTGAGTTTCTCTGTAATAAAAGATTTATGTTAGTTAACATGTTTGTTTAGTACTTATTACAAGGTATAATATTCTATTTATTATAAACCTTACCTGTAATAAAAGAAACGACATTTAATGTTATTAATTACAATATCAATTCCTAACGTCAATAGTTTTCATAATGGAATTCATTCGACCACAGACTAACTAAAAAAAGGCTGACTATATTCGCTGGCGCTAGCAGCGCGGCCTTTATTTGAACTAAAGAAAAAATATTTTCTTTACATATATATATATATATATATATATAGGTGATGTTAATTTTAATGTAACTATTGTTACTTTAGACTGGTGATATTCCTTAGACCACTGAAAAGAAATCAAAATCTAAAAAGACTAAAATATTTATTTTACTATATACGTAATGTTTCTAAAGAGGTCGATGCTAATGTGTATTGAAGAATTAGTGCTCCGGCTTCAGCAGCTAATAAATAATTATGAGTAAAGTAATTTATATTTTATTCTTATTAGTTTATTGAAGTCGGTTATTATTCTTCTTTTTAAGTTAAAAGTTTAATTATTTAAGAATGCTTTATAGATTTCTTTTATGACTTTAAGTTTTCTTACAATTTTTGGTAATGTAATGAATATGTAAGTACTCTTAGATTTTTCTCCCTCGGGTACATATTTCTTGGCCCGCTGTCGCTAAGTGCTTTTTAATGTTTCCCAATGGTAACAACATTAGTGTTCTTGTATATCATAAACGATGAAACGGTTTTTTATTGCAGCGTAGTATTCCTTGTAAATGTGATAGCCACTGTTTAAGGACGTAGTTACACTTTTGACGTGCTCAAATTTAGATATTCGAATTGCAAGCTGACATACGCTTGCGCACATTGATACAGTTTTGCGCTATACTTTATATGTTATACTCAAATAAAATTTATACTTGCTCAGGCCAGCAAAGGAAGAAAAACGGAGCGTTGCGTACATTTTAAGTGAAGCTGAAACCATGTTCAACTTCTTGACGCGCACTCTCATATACGTCTTTTTTCTTTTTTCTTTATCAGCCCTTAAATGTTTACTGATGGATGTACATATGAAGACACTAAAACCATGTTAATGGTTGCAAATAATTTTAGATGAACACATGCATGTGAGTGTGTGTTTTTGCAATAAGGTGAGCATGCTGTTTGCTTGGATTTTTCATCCTTTGAAATGTACACAGTGCTCCGTTTTTCTTTCTTTGTTGGTATGAGGATACTTGAAGTATTATTAATTTTACAAGTATTAAGTAAAGTTAGTTGGCGAAACTTTGCAATCGCATAATGAATTCTTATATTTACGCGATTACTACACATTTAAATAAAACTAATTTTACGGATTTTATCGAGTATATTAACTTATTTTATATTACCGACGTTTTTACAGTACCCAAGGTTACGGGGGGGGACTGAGGTGTATGACGTTCCAATGTTAACAATAACTACCTCCAAATTAAAAATTATTAATTTTTGTTCCGATCTACGCAGTATGAACTTACAGTATCTTGAAGTCTTGCAGTTGTATGCTTGGGTTGGGATTTAATTTTATTAATTATGGGATCCCAAGCAGATGGTAGCTCCCAGCCATCTTCTTTATTGAAATTAGGATGTTTTTTTTTATTTCAATAGCCTCGCGAATCATCCTTAGAAGGTGTCCTTTAGCAAGCATTTGTGGTCTATCAAATCTAATGTAGTGACGGGGGCGATCCTGCACGTGTTCACAGACTGCAGACTTCCCGGAGCGTCTATTCTTCACATCAGCTGTGTGTTCTTTAACGCGGGTTTTTATGGATCTTTTAGTTTGTCCTATAAAAGAGAGACCACATTCACAATCAAGCTTGTACACTCCTGCATCTTGCAGAGGGACATTACACTTGACTGATGGTAAAAACTGATTAATCTTCTTCGGCGGCTTGAAATATGTTTTAATGTAAGCACGTTTCAAGATGTAGCCAATCTTGTCAGTGACACCTCTGACATATGGCAAAACTGCAGTCACTCGCTGGACTGATGCCGGCTTTACTCTTTCACTGTGACGTAGGCGCGGGACCCGAAGCTTAGTGTCGTGCAAAACTTGCTTGACGTGTTGGAGGTCGGCGGCCAGGTATTTACTGTCACAGATCCTTCGTGCTCTCTGAAACAATGATTTACCCACGGTAGCTGTGAAGGATGGTGATGAGAATCGCCGTTTAAATATCTATCTGTATGGGTCTTTTTTCTATACACAGTGTGGTTTAAGGTGTTATTAGGATTCCGAATTACTAACACATCTAGATTGTGAAAAGGTAGTCTACGTACCGCTTGTAGAATCTAGGGTTTACGGGAGAAGTAAGCGGGGCTTTCTTCTCAAAGTTTTCCATGAATATATCGGCGACAATGGGTGATACAGGTGAGCCCATCGCCACGCCATCTACTTGCTTGTAGAACTATTTCTTCCACAATAGACAACAATTCTACCTTTAAAGTAACTCCATTTTTAGACCATCTTAACTCCATAATTTCTAAAATTCAGTTCAAAATGCTTATTTAAAATTAGCTTTTCTAGATGTGTTAGTAATTCTGAATCCTAATAACACCTTGAACCACACTGTGTATAGAAAAAAGACCCATACAGATTGTTCAATTAGGGAACATGAATAAAATAGGCGACTCACACGATAGGCAAATTGTATATTTAAAAGGAATGAAAAATACAAAATATTTGGTGGCGATCGGGTCGCGAGCTATCGGCGAGTGCCGGTCTTAGGCGTGGTGGTGAGAAACCCCCCGCACTTCACATACTCCCCGCAAACACCGTCGGTGCTGTCGTAACGGCGCCGACATACTCCCGGCGCTGGAAAGCTTAACAGCTTTCAAGATCTTCCAATTCATCGGGCTTCGGTAGTAGGACGATTCTGTTTAGGGCGCGCCGCACAATTCCTCTTGCAGTGTCTATATCTGCGACGCGTGTCAATCCGTCAGATCCCGGGAAGAGTTTTCTTACACGTCCGAGACGCCAATAGAGCGGTGGAGCGTTTTCCTCTTTCAAGAGGACTAGGTCGTCAATTTGTAGGCTCTCTTTGGACTTCGTGCGCCACTTCGTCCTCAACTGCAGCTCCGCAATGTACTCGTGGCTCCAGCGTCGCCAAAAGTGTTGCTTAAACTGCTCGATGCGCTGGAATCTGTCGAGACGATTGGCATTAGCGGATTGTAGACACGGAGATGGCAGCGAGCTTAGTGGTCTACCAATTAAAAAGTGGCCCGGAGTTAAGGGATAATAGTCCGTGGGAGAGGAACTTAATGGACATAGGGGGCGGCTATTTAGGATACATTCTATTTGTGTGAACAAAGATGACAATTCCTCATAGGTTAGGTGCGTAGTCCCTAATATCCTAGCCAGGTGGAATTTGGCTGACTTTACACCGGCCTCCATCAAACCATTGAAGTGAGGAGCGTATGCAGGCGAAAAACAAAATTCAACGCCTTCGTTAGCGGCAAAATTAGCGATAGTTTTGGCATTAACTTCAAAAAACTCTTTAAGTTCCTTTGAAGCAGCTACAAAGTTTCCACCATTGTCGCAGAATATCTGCTTTGGTAGCCCTCTCCGTGAAACAAAGCGTCTCAAAGTTAATATAAAAGCATCCTTGGACAGCTCACTAACAGCCTCCAAATGGATGCACTTATA